GCAAAGGGACAAGTGTGTTCTGGCTGCAAAAAGCAAGTGCCCCCTCCCAGTTTTCCATGTCTCTGCCACCCCCATCTTCTGTTTTCCTCAGCCCTGCCTCCCCACCAGTGCCCAGGGGAGCAACCTGGCTGGAGCCACTGTGCACTGCCCCATGGGCTGGCAGTCACGTGGGGGTGTGAGTATGTCTGTGGCTGGAGCTGTGGGGAAGAGACAGCCCTTTGTGGGGTGGCTTGGATCCATGAGAGCTGGTGCCATTGACAGTTGGCACTGCAGCTGCATGTGGAATTGGGCTGGTGAGAGACTCACTGCTGTACAGGAGCAGGGAGAGCACATCCCCTCCCCATGCCAGCCAAGAGCTCCCCTCTGCTGGGGGACATGTGGACGAGTTCCTTTGACCTGGAGCTGAGAAGGGGGAAATGGCATCAGTTTCATCCCACCTCCCTGGCATTGGTGTGGGGTGTTGACAAGAGTTGCCCAGATTTACCAGCCTGTTACCACTGTAACAGCCTTAGGGGATGGTCCTTGTCTCCTCTGGGAGCAGACAAAAACCACCTCTCCCCTAAACAAGAGTGTTTCATGCTGTCATTTTAGTCTCTAAATGATTTTTACTGGTAACCAAAAAGCTGTAAATTTACTCCAGGAACATGTATATTTTGGCACCGTTGTAGCTCAGGACAAGGTTTAGGTTGGAGCTGGCTCAGGGAGACTAACCCGTCCTCCTCGCCCTGCGATGGCAATGGGGACGCAGGTCAGGAGTGGAGAATTGCTGCTTTGTGGTGGTGGCTCTGGATATGGAGTCTGTGACTTTCTACTGAAAGCGCTTGTCTGTGAGCACAAACTACTGATGGGATGACACTAGATTCTTACTTTCCTTTATTTGGTGGGTTTGTAAATAAAAACTGCGTCTTCAGAGAGTGCTGGGCTTTGTCTTATTTTTTGACAGGGCCAGGACTCAGTTTAATTTTTCCTTTCTGCCATTTGACAGATCTGCTGCTGGCACTCTCTTGCATGGGAACAGCCCACAAGGTCAGGCAGCAGCCAGAGCAGAGCCAGTTCTGCTGCCAGCAGTGGCAGTCCTGCCTCACCTCTGAGCCACCAGCCCTAAGAGCAGGTCCACAGCAGAGCCTCAGAAAGCCAGAAATACTGGAAACTACAGATTGTAGGGACACTGCAGGGGGAGGACCCTTAGGAAAGGCAGAGGGGCTAGCAGAAAGCAGGGCTGGGTGGTGGGGACAGCAGTGTTGTCTGTTCAAGGAGTGTCTCTGGAAAAAGCAGGTGTAGGCTAAACTGCAATGTGGGACAGTAACACGGCACAGGCCCTTGGGAGAACTGTATTTAGAAGTCCAGGCTCATGGGAGGGTGGAAGTTGCAGCATATGTTCTGATTTGAAAGTGTTGTCAGTGAAGGTAATTCCTTTGGAATGTGGCTATGGAAGGGGCAGTGTCACCCCACCACCACCTGTGGTCCAGACCAGCCTGCTGGGCTGGGAGAGATTCTGATAGCTGCTCCTGGTAAAACCTGCTTCTGGTTGCAGGGTAGGTAATTTCCATACACTGAGGGAGTCTCCCTGCAGCTGAGAAGGATAAGCCACCACCACTTAAGCTGCTTTTTTCAGGTTTGAAAAAGATGCAGAGGGATCACCCACCCTTAGCTGGAAAAGGCAGAATGGCCCCAAGCCCTCCCACCAGCATAGCAGAGAAGTTTTTGAGAACATGGCTGTTTGGAATTTTTTTAATAAAATGGATTTTTTTTTCTTCAAATATTTGTAACTGAAAAAATAATTCAATTTAAAGATCCATTCTCTCCCCCATTAACTTGTCACTTTTATCCTTTTCCAGTTGAATACTCGCTCTGGATCTGATGCCCCAACACCATCTCACTCTGATGGTGCTGATCAGCCCTCGCCATTGGCTGCATAGTGGAAGGGAGAGTGCGTGCTAGTCAAATACACATTACAAACAAGTAGTGGTTACAGCAGAAAGATTCAGGATTACATTCAAGGTAGAGGCAGAACATCAGACTTTGTTTTTCCCAGTGGGTTCAAAAATGTATGTCCGGGGGAATACCTCTTCCAACAAGAAACTATTGAACTATTATTCAAAGAAATAATAGTAAGAAAGCAGAGAACTGGGCAAGCCTGCTCTGGGCACTGCTTGGGGAAAAGACTTTCTAACATTTCCGGGGCTGAGGCACCACCTTCCCCTTTGCCCACAGGCACAGGATTATTGTTCACTCTCCTGCCAGAAGCCCCTTGTGCAGAGGGGCTTCCACAGGTCAGCCAGGCTTCTCAGGACACGAGGCTCATAGTTCTGTTTCCTCTGGGCTCCTCGAAGCTCTTCAGCCAATGAAAGAATGTTAGGCAAAGTCAGGGTCACTAAATTCCTACACTTTCACACCTGATGGTGGATGGGTGAAGGTGAAAGGGAGCAGCTGTGAGCTCAGCCTTTCACCAGCAACCTCTGGGAAGGGCTACACTGGTATCAGGCATTGGCATCTCTCTGCCAGTGACTGGAGTACCTGGCACAGGGCAAGGAACCAGGGCTGGGTAAGGCCGGGACTGCAGCTAGAGTGCTCCCACCTTCCTCTAGGAGCTCATTGCACTTTACTGATAATTTCATTCTTTATTTAATGGCTGCAGATTTGTAATTATTTGTACCAAAGAAAGTACACAGCTGGTTTTTGTGGGAGCTACTGCAACTATGGGCTAAAAGAACCTGATTTTGCTTGAGTCTGACAAACAGGCAGCCTCACGTTTTCCCCTCAGCATTTTGGAGATCCTCCCACTCCCTCCATACTCCCTCCTTAGAAATTCCTTGCCTTCTGCCCCCACAGCTGGGCAGCTTGCCTGGCTGGTGAAAGCTCTGTAAGGTGATTGCTAAGTACTCACTGCTCCCAGTGAGCACCTGGGCTGCACCAGGAGAGAATGCAGGGAGGGCTCAGGAGGATAAAGGGGGTGCCCACCAGTCTCTTTTACTCTGATTTTTAGGGTGTTACACTGTAGCTTGAGGAATAGAAACCCTGTGGGAAAGGGGGAGAGGGGTGGTGTCCTCCCCAACCCGGACACTGAGGGAGGGAATAAGAGGCTCCAACTTGCTTACAGTTCAGGGCCAGAGGAAACGACAGAAAGGAAGCTGCCAGCAGGCTCCCCCTGCAAATGATTAAGAAAGTGGCTCCCCGTGCAGTTAACAAGCAAAGGGCTCAGGAAAGCAAGAGTATCTCCCAGCTGCAAATAGGGATGACCCCACACAGCTGCCAGTTCAGTGGCTGAGGGAAAGCACATTGTGCAGGGTTGGCCTGCCTGCTTCACCACAGAGCAGAGGTACCAGCACCTCTGTGGCACAGCTTCCCCCTGGGAAGAGGACTACGTACCAAAGTTGCAGGAAAGCAGCACGTGGCTCACAGCTACCTGTCCCCAGCAGGAAGCTCTGCGGCCCAGCATGGGGGAAAGGTGGGGACAGCATCCTCAAGGAGATACTGAGACGGATGGTAGTTGATTCTTTCATTGCCTGACCAGGTCAGTACCTCAGTCTGCACAACTTCAGAAGCCACAGCTTCCCCCACCTCACTCAGCACGAGCAGCCTGGGCCCAGCTCAGGGCTAAAGCAGGGACAGACTGTGGCGAGGTGGCTGCATCCACGTAAGCCATGTCCCACCTGCTCAGTATGGCTGTGATTTACTACTGGCACAGGAATTCTCAAGTAACAGGAGTGACAGCACAAGAGTGAGCCATAGCCTGGTGTTCCACCACAGAGCCCTGCCCAAGGAGTAGCATTGTCATGCTGAGGTCCTGGGGACTTGTCCACCCACTCCTCAGTCTGCAGTTCCCTCAAGGCACCAGCTTGGGGCCCTATAGAGATACAGGGCACCAGCTCAAAGTAAGCAGCCATTTACTTTTGCCTTTTACCCTGTGGGACTGGAGGGAGGGAAAAGCAGAAGTCAGCTGCCCAATACTTGCTTTCAGACTCCTCCCCAGAAAGGGGCCCTCACAGTCACTGAGCTGGGACCTGCGCTGTGCCAGACAACACCCCTCTTGTAGTCCCACTTCCCCTTCCTCACCTATGAGGTCCAACATCCATCCCCAGCTGCTGCTTTCCACTGGGGCACGTGCTACAGTGAGGCACCAACACAGCAAATGCAGGAGACAGATTGCACATGGCCCCCAATGATATGTTACTGATTGCCAGCTGTGTCCCTCACCCGCTCCCCAGGACACGCAGGCACTGTCATGTCCCTGCTCAGGCTGACTGCCCTGCTCACCTGGGGATGTCATGAATGCAGTGGGAGCTGGGGGCAACGGGCTGTGCCTGACAGCAGTTTTAACATATAAGGACCCGATTTTAGCACCTTAAAAACTGTTTTGCAGCCAAAAGCAAGTGAAGTGAGCGGGCAGGCTGGCAGGCCTCTGCCAAGCTCAGCAATGTTTGGGAAACCAGCTTAGCCCAGGTTACCAGGTTGGTGGGGAGCCCTGGTTCCCTTTGGCTACATTTAGAGTAGGTGCCTGTTCTGCCCAGCTCCTCCCAGCCCTGCGGCAGATCAGACCCTCCCCTGACAGGGCAGGTGGTGCAGAGGGAAGCTGCTCTGGGTCCCAGGCAGCCCTCCTGCCTTTGTGTCCTGCTCCAGAGGTAGAATCCCCTTCCATAACCGTTAAGACCGTGCTGGGGCAGCACAACCCCCTTTATCCACCAATCCCAGGAAGGCGCAGAGTGCTGCTGCTGGAAAACAGCTCAGGCCCAGTCATGCTCTGTCCCACGTGAGGGAACAATGTGCTGCCACTGCTCCTGCCTGGAGGAACAGGGGCTGCTGGCTCTGCTCTCACCCTGGCTGGGCCAGGCTGTATGGAGCGGGCAGGAGGCCGCCAGCCCCACAGCTCCTCCTGCCTCTTGTGCCCGCCCCCTCCCTCAGCAACCGTTCTCCCTGCCCTGGCCCGGCCCAATGCCAGCTTCACACAGCAAGGACACTGTCAGGGGAGGAGTACAAATACTAGGAGCTTCTTTTTTCTCTTTTTTGGTTGACTGGCCTCTTCCCTCTGCATGCCTCCCACTGTGCCTTCCCTCTGTGCCCTCCCACTCCCATTCCCTTCAGTCTCTGCTCACAGAATTACAAGCAAGAATCCCAGTGCAGCTGCAGATCATGTCCATCAAGAAAGTCTGTGGAAAAGAGGCTGGGAGCCGTGGTGCTCAGGGGAGCCAGGCTCATGACAGAACCCCCTGGCAGCTCCAGCCAGTCCATGCTGTCCAAGTTAGCCTCAGCCAGATCCAGGGCTATGCCCCCAGACGGCTCGTGAGCAAAGTGCAATTCCGAGGTGTCCATAGGTGAAGGCGGGTGGTCCAGGATGGCCGAGCTGCTCAGCATCTCACTGTGGAGGTCATCAATGAGGGACAGGGGCTCTGGCCCATCGTGGCCTGCCGTCAGCAGCGGGAGGCCGGTGCTGCTCTCCAGGAAGTCCTCCAGCCTGCCCACGAGCACCGGCTGCCCCAGGGACACCAGCACCGCCAGCTCGGAGGAGTGGTGGCCGCTGGGTGGTGGGGAACAATCTGGGGCCGCAGGTGCTTCTTTCCCAGCTGGGGACGACTGATCCTTGAAGTCAGCAGAAATCTCTGTACAGGGAACAAACAGGCCAGGGTAAGGAAAAGTCTGGCTGAACATCAGAAGGATCCCTCCCACCCACCAGGGCCACAGACACCCCCAAGACCAAGCCATCACTGACTACCAGCTGGGATGAGGAAACATCCTGTGCCTGTGCTTGCCTCACTATGGGGAGTTTTCAGCCCACCTCGATGAAATTCCATCTCTGTCCAGTATCTCAGAAATGATGTGCCCGAATTTGATGCAGCAGAGCCATCAAGAATCACAGAATCATATGAAGCCCTGACTGACATCTTCCTCAGTGCCTTAATGACTACTGCCAGTGCTAAAAGCACTGGAAGGGACACCGGAGAAAAAAAGCGGAGCCGTGACAGACTTTCCCCTTGGTGCTCTACAATCCTCAGCTTCAGACCCAAGGGACTATGGGAAATGCTGGCTTTGTCTCCTTACCTCCACTTTCAATGAGGATATCAAACAGGTCATCCATCTGCTGACTGGAACAGCCATTCTCCTGGGAAGAGCAAGTGCAGGATTAGCCTCCTATTTACCAGGGGAACTTCCACCTCCAGCAACACCCTTGGCTGCTGGTTCTCCTCCCTTGCCCAGGGACGGGGCTGTTTTCTAGCACGAATGAGCACACCATGACACGGCACCAGAGTCCTCTGTAACCCAGGCTGTTACTGGCTGGGAAAGTATGGTCAGCAATGGCAATGAATGGCTTGAGATTACCTGTGATTTAGGGTCTACCCCAAACCCTCCAGAGGAAGTTCAATGAGGAAGGTGCAGTTATGTCTCCATTCCCTATCACTGACCCACATCAAGAAACTGAGTAGAATAGCAACGTTTTGTCTGCTCTACAAGGAAACCAGGGAGAGTAACTGCTCTCACCTGGGCCTTTGGCTGTTGCTTCATTGCCTCTTCATAACCTGGTGGTGGCTCTTTTACTGGGACCGAGGGAACCGGAAGAGGAGGTGGAGGAGTTCCAAAAAGCGGCGTGTGCTGTTGCTGCTCCAGGTCCATCTGGGAGGGGGAAAGGGCGGCAGGAGAGCCAGGCTGTGATGAGGACTGTTTAGAATGAAGGCAGAAGAGGGAATGAATGTTAATCAGGGAAAAGTCTACGTCAACTCCTGTCTCACAGCTGCTTTGAGAGACCATCTCCTCTCCCTGTGAGCACTGCACAGCAGTCTGCACTGCTCTGCCCACAGCAGCCTGCCTCCTTCCCTGGACTCTGTGCACTATGCCCTGGCTGCAGAGGAAGAATTTCCCCTCCAACTCACAGCTGGAAATCTTTAGCCAATTTTTCCAATGCTAAAGAAGCCACGCCACAAACCACCTTCTCACTTCTCCTGGACGGGGAGAGCCTCATCTGTCCAGGCGGGGGATTCCTGCAGCACTTCGGAGAGAAAGGGCACTTCCCTTGTGTGTTCAGCCTACTCTGTGCAACATATCCAGGGCCTCTCTTCTACCCGTCTCCCTCTGCAATGCCTGCTTTGGGGTCACAAGCCAGTTTCACTTAGCAGCAAGTTTCACAGCCTGATGATAAGTGGAGAGCACCAGAGCACTGAGCAGCACCAGAACTCCAAAGGAAACCCCAGGTGTTGCAGGAAGTGGTGCTCATGACTCAGCTTTAGCAGATGAATCAGCACATAACTGCCCATAAGAACGGCTGAAACGAGGATCATGCCTTTCCCTCTACAGCAGCTATGCATGACCCACATGGAAACCTGCTCCCCTGGAGCAGTGAACTCTGGGGCAGCAGCTGAATGCCACTTCCAACACATGTACGTATTGATGCCCTTGCCCATCCTGTTTTCCCTGGAAAGCTGCTCATCTTTCTGTGACCCACAGGTAGAGGAGCGACCAAAGACCAGCCCTGCTGCGATCCACTCTTTCTGAGAAGGGCTGGAAGCCATGGCTGTGGCACAGGCCACTGGGACATGCTGGGAGGGTATTTTTTGACACATCGGATTGGCTGGCTTTGCCAAAAGCACCAATATTCAGGGACTGCTTATGGAAACCACAGGAGAAGAAAAGCTGCAGGTTTGGAGGTGCTGAGAAAGACAACACGGTGTATGGCCAGCTGCCCTGCAACCACCTGCAGACCTGGCTTCTGACCCCACAGGGAGGCAAAAGGATGGGAAGAGTCAGTACAGATATCTGTGCAGCACAAAAGCTAAGGAACTCTGAGGAAAAAGGTGCCTTTATTTACCTTCTACACATTCTCTAAGGTCTCAAAGCAAACCAAGGCACTGCCCCTTTGCAAAGTAGATACCTCACTCTAAATATATTAGAAATTACATCTGTCTTCATATCCTTTCCAGGAACTGACTCAGAAATGATCCTCCAAGCTCTAAAAACTCTTCATAATCTTTCTGTATCTTATCTTAATTACAGGTTAGAGAGACAGCTAAGCAGGCTAGAAAGGGAGGAGATGTACAGCAGAGCCTCTTTAAAGCCAGCACCTGGAAAGGGTTAAAGGCAGAGGTGCCCTCTTTCCTGAAGCAGTATAGCACTTCACAAATCGGTGATTAACTGGCATGCTCAGGGCAGGGGAAGGGGAATGACAGCATGCTCAGCAGTACCAGAGACTGAAAGATCACAGCCCTTTTGCTCCTCTGAGCTCACATGCCCCTTCAGTAGCAGCCACACTGCCCACACCACCCTCTCTCCATGCAGCAGCCACCGTTTCTGTTCAGCAGCACTCTTTTAAGAATCTGGGACACCTCTATGAATCAAGGCTGCCCACTCCAGCCCCTCCTTGTTTTCAATCCACAGACAACATCCCCTGGTATGTAGCATGTTTGTACCCACTGCCTATGGGAACAAGCCCAAGGGAGAAAAGCGAGCAGGCAAGTGAGATACCTTAGACTGGTCTGATCCTCTGGGCTGCTGCTGCTGCTGCTGAGTGGGCTGTTGAGGGGTGTTTGCAGGTACCTGACACGGCAGTTGGCTGGAAGTTTTAGCGGGTGATGATTGTACACTCTGGAAAGAAAAGGGTATCCATAATAGGTTATTCCCCAGACATGACATGGACACAGGGCCTAGGTTTCTTACAGGGTATATAAGTTTGTTCTTTCCCCACTCTTTATTCTTTAGAAAATTCAATCCTTCTCTTTCCCTGAGCAGAGAAATCAGACTGGATGCGATGAGGAGTCCTAAGAGAGGAAGTAGTACCAGCCTAAATCCCTGAGCCACCCATGACACGCCTCAAGGACTGCCAGACTTGACAAAAGAGCTGTGCCCTTGTGGAGCAGCAGTGGAGCTCAGGTGAGATACTCTGGGGTTGCAAGGCTGACATTGGATGCTGATGTTTAGACAGCTGCAAACATCTCACCTGCTATGCAGCAAACACACTCTGCTCAGTGCCTGTCACTGATGGCAGACACTGCCACTTGCTCTGCAGAGAATCAAAATTATCTTTGATGTCATGGAAGGTGCTGGGGTTTGACTTGCGCCATCAAACCTGGGCATATTTATCCCTTCCTGGAAGGAACACTCGGAACACTTCTGTTAAGTGCTGAGCTCATGCCAGCAGGGGAATAGTAAATCATCTCTGATGAAAGACTCTGTTAACACTGAAATACTGACACGCACTGAAACAAAGAGCAGCCAAAAGCAAACAGGCTGCTCCCAGGGTCTGATTTCAGCTCTGGTAGATAAGATGACCCATCTATCACTCCAACTACGATCTCTACAGTTAAGGACAAGAGATGAAATACACTCTGCCCATTTTACTACCATGTGTTCTTTTAGTTGCTCTTTTAAAAACTAGTGAACTGTGGCAGCAAACCCTTGTCGTCCAAGCCCGAGGTCTGCCTGACAATAGGCAGAACCATGTGTTTGGAAGAATGCTGAGCAGCCTGTGATGCACAGAGCCAATCTTGCATTGCTGCACACAGCTCATCATTGTCAAATTCCAGTCTTTTTGCCGAAGATCTGCTTACACTGCTCTGTTTTACAAAGCCATGACCTACCACCAACCACCGTAGCGAGCAACTCAGCCCTTTCAGTATTTACTGCACTGAATTTCCACCCTATGGAAGTCATCCTATGGTAAGCAAAGTGGGATGAGGAGAGAGGAACCCAACTGCTCGCAGCAGTGATGGGATCCCACCCTTGCCTACCTGCAAGGGTGGGCAGCTGCTCCCTGCCATCCAAGGGTGGGGAGAGAGGCCCTGCCTCTCGGCGCTCTGCTTGGTCACGGTGAGGACGATGTGGGTCCCTGTGGAGTCAGTGATGAGGGGGGGGGAAGGGGTGCCCTTGAGGTCGCTCAGGGCGCTCCCTTGCTCGCCAAGGAGAAGCCGCGGGCTGTGGGGCTGGCACGGCGGCTCTGCTTCCGTGGCTGGCACCTCCTGCTTCACCATCACAGCTTTCTTTGGCACTGGGCTTGGATTCGAAGTGTCCATTTGGCTAGCGGTTGGTGCAGGGCTGAATTGGTCTGTTTGGCCACTGGATTGCTTCGCAGACTGGCAACTCAGGAAATCGTTTTCAGTCTTGACCTGGGTGCCAAACTCTCCTGGTTTGGAGGCGAGGGCTGTTCCTTCTTCGGCGGCTGTTGGGGCTGGCTGTGACTGCTGAGAGCGTTTCTCCTGCTCCAGCTGTAGCCTAAGCATCTCCACCAGCTGCTGCTTCTGTTTCAGCATGCGGGTGAGTTCCTCGATCTGCTTGTCCTTCTCCTGCAGCATCTGGTCTTTGTCCCTAACTTCTGCATCTCTGCTGTTAGCAGCACTACATCGCTCTGACCTGGGTGCTGCATTTATGCTGCAGGAGGCGGACTTGGAGCTTTCTTCCTTCACCAAGAACTGCACTGGAGATGTCTGCAAGGTGAGCTGGGTCAGAGGTGAAGTCACCATCTCTCCAAAGGTATCTCCAGTGCCCGAGTTTTCATCCCCTGTACTCATTTGCGAGCGCTCGGAAGGAGTTGGAGAAACAGGAGGAGTTGAGCCTGTGCTCCCAAACTTCATCACGCCACCACCAGTAACTGTGGCCACAACTACTTCTGCTGGTGCAATGCCAGTGGTGACCAGGGCCGGCCCTGTGCTCAGCCTGGCAGTTGGGAAGGCCACTACCACTTTGGCAGCTTTAGGGAGGACAGCTGCTGTGCTGGGCTTGGGAGTGGGGGTTGTTTGGCCGGCTGCACCGTTCTGCTCTTGGTAAGCTCGGAGACGCTCAATCAGGTCTGTCTTTGTGCCCGAGACAGGCAAGGCCCTCAACTTCAGCTCTTGCTTCAGCTCTGCTACCTGATATGGGATGAAAAAAAGAGGACAACATTATGAGAACTTCTAATTAAACCACTATCAACAGAGCTATGAGACAAAGGACTAGACTGATCTTCCTGCAGACCAACAAACTTGCACCTCAGGTAAGACTGCAGGGTAGCAATCCCAGTTGTTATCACTAACTCCTGTCAGTCCACCTCAGCCCTGCTCTGGGGCAGCAACATCATTCAGTACTGCCTGCTGACAATGGCAGAAAGGGTCTGTGCAGCTTCACAGGACATTCACCTTCATCTCATCCAGGTTGGCAGGGAGAGGGCCAGGCTTGCCCACCGCAGCATTACTGTTTTGTCTCATCAGCCCACTGGAACCAGAAGATACTGAGGATGTGCTGCTGACTGTGGCAGAGAGATTGCGTACAGCAGGGGCACTGGCACCACTCTGCTGCTCTCCTGGAGGCCTGCAGGAAAAGAAAGAACACAGACATCAAAACCACACTGGAAAGACACCAGAGACCCTCAGTATCCACAAACATACACGTTCAGAAACGTCTGCATCACTAGTGCTGTCCTAGACTCTGAAGCACACCAACACTCTCGACTACATCCATGCCCCTTGCTGTGCCAACCGACTTCAGCTGCTTTTGTCTGATTCATCTTGCACCAGCTCTTTTTGAGGCTCTCTGGAACCTACAAGACTGAGTGTGTCACACCCAGTGGCCACCCCGACACCCAGAACACCACGTCTCTGGTAGGAGAGCTGGTAAGTGCTTGCTAAGAGAGCTGCCACTGCGGACCCGTACTTAGGTGGGGCTGGCAGGATGGTCTGATAGTTGTAATGCTGCTGCTGCTGGTTGAGGATCTGAAGCTGGAGAAAGAGCTGCTGTTGCTGCAGTATTTTGGCATAGGATGAATCCATGGGAGGAGCTCCCTTGTCTTGCTTTTGGTCCGGGGGAATATACTGATGATATTTAAGCTTCTTGACTTTCGGCTTCAACTCCTTGGCTTTTTTACTGCGCTGGGACTTCTCACTAGCAGATTTGGGCTGGCTTTGCTATTTAGAAGAAAAGGAGGAAGCAAGTAAGAATGGAAACATTGATATAACGTAACACCCCATGTAACCCAGAACACACACTGGGATATTAATTTTGAAATTCTCTAGTTTGCTCACCTCAGGGTCTTTCCATGCTTCCCGAACTGAGACATTATAGACACCGCACTGGCAGCAGCTTATGCTGCACCATAATGCAGGTCACCTTTCCCAGCACACCAGATCATTTGCTCATCCAGGGCAGATTCATTGACTCTAATTACAGATAACACTCATTGTTTCAAAACATTTTTCATTCAGTATCCGTTATACAGAAGGTGAATACACCATGGAACAGAAAATCCCATTAAATATGTTACAATTAGTGTCACGGGATGACACTAGTGAGAAATGTTTCCTTCCTTGGCATCTGTTAATCTAATAGTTCCAACTCCAAACCGGCTTAAAAGTAACCTTCTTATCTTCCTTCAGACTACAACAATGAAGACATCAGCCAAAATAGTACCTTAATGAGTGTTGGTGGGGGCTTGGCAGCAGTAAGAGCCACTCCATTGGTAAGACTAGGGGGCAGAAGAGGTGGAGGTGGCAGTGGCGGAGGTGGCTGCTCAGGTAGGAAAAGAGTTTCACTGGAGTCTGCACTGATCTGCAACTGGGATGAACCCTGAAGGGACAGAAAAAGGCATAATGAATACACACGAGAGGAGGGAAATAGTTTAACAGAGTGCAGGAAGTGTCCACTTAGAAGGAAGGAGCACAGGCTTCAAACCTTTAATCGGACTCCTTTAACCCACTGCTTCAGTTGTCCCTGAGAAGCAGCACAACTTCTTCAGGCAGAAAAGGAATCAAAATCCAGCACCTGTATCTCCCAGCATTCCGTGCTGGGATCAGTTGCACACAGGCTCTATCACCAAGCAATGGCTCTCCATTTCCCCACAAGGTACCACCATGAGGGTTTGTGAATAACCAGAGGAGGATGTCACTGACACCACACAGAGCTAAGACCCTTTCTGAAATCTCACAGACTATACCTCTTAGGGAAGCCTTAGTCTCACTTTTTAGGCTCCTCTGCCACAAACCAGCATGAAGCTCCAGGGCACTGCAGGAGACCTCCACATTCTCACCTGAGCTAGTGATGTAGCAGTGGTGCTAGGGAGAGGCTCACAAATCCGAGAGTCCATCGGCGATGGGACAGACCCTTGGGACTCATGGCTGGCTGGCTGTTCTGGGGAGAGGGCATCACTGCTGTCCTCATCAAAGGAAGAATTGTCTGCAACCTTTGGGTAGTTCACCTGTCCAACTAAAAACACGAACATCAACCGTGGTCTGTAAAGTGGAATAAGAAATGACTTTGCTTGACACTAGATGTTTCACAAAGACAATGATGGCATGGAGAGAGTTGTGCTTAAAGCACCAGCTAAAAATGAGAGAACAGAGTCCTCAGCTGGATTGGGTTTAAGTGTTTACATTCACTATCTATCAGTATAATAAAATAATGTGGAGTGGGGTGAACCATTACCCTTGCTTCCTAGACAGGAAAGATCAGTGAGTGTAAGATATTCAGGTCTGCCCAAACCCAGCTCTGTGGCATGGCTTATTTCATTATCATCTGGCACCAAAGAAGAAAATTGGACAGCATAAGGTTGAGTCATGGCTTCTATGGTGTTCATCCTGTATGGTGGAAGGTAGAATTTCTCTTGGATTCTTCTGTCTTGGAAGACAGAATCTCAAACTGTCCTCTAGTCTTACAAACAACAAGGGCTATGGATTAAGTGGTGGCCCTGGCTGCTATTAGCCTTTCTGTCCATCTACATGCCCAACAGATAAACTCACATGAGTGTACACTTGGAACGCACCAAAGTTTTTTTGGACTACATTTTCTCAAATTAATCCCGCTAAGCGGGGAAATATTGTCATTTGCACCTCACCTAAAACCAAGAGGATTCCAGAGATGTGCTTTGCTCAGTCAGAAGGAAGTCACATCTCTCATGCTTCAGTTCACAGGTTCGCCCTTCCTCAACTACTTCTTGTTCAATAGTGAAGCCAGGTTCTCTCACAACACTGTCCTTTTCCTTTTTTATGGAAACTATTCCGTCTCACTCACAGTTGTGTCCCATTTGTCTTTACAGTAACAGTGCATGTTTGAGGGGACGAATAACCACAGACACACAGACTGCTCAGTCTGGGGAGACAGGAAAGAGCACTGCTGAGGCAGTGGGAAGGCTATTCCTCAGCATTCCTTTCAGCCCTTGGAATGGCACTGGCATGATTTACATCTGTTCTGGTTTATTTTTAAAGGGGTTGAATCCTCTGAAGTTTTTGAGTTCACAGACATCTTTTGTTTCATCACACCTGTTTATATTCTGTCTCCCCTCCTGATCTAAGTCAGTGGGTTCCCCCTGACCAACGTTGTTGACATGTTATCCTGAGAGAGGGATTTTAAGGAGACAATCTAGGGAATTCAATCTTCAATAGTCTTTCAAGTCTTTAGGGTATACTATTACTTCCATATTATTCTGGAATGTCCGAATTCCCTGTAATTCAATGTCTCCATAGCATTATCTGGGCCAGAGGGAGATCTTCTTTTCTGAATCCTCAGGATGAAAGCCTGTGATTCTGGGCCAGGAAAATGAGACCAGCCATGGGATTGCACTGTCTTAGACATGCAGGTGAGTTGATAGGTAATCACAGCCACATGTGGGAAATGCCCTCCACAAAGATCCTCCTCTGACCTTACCAATAATAGCTTCCTTTAGGCTCGATTCCACAGGCAAGATATTCTTCTCCACCAGCTCCATGGGCCCTGGCCTCTGTGCTATCTTCTCATTGAGGTCATCTGCCAGTCTGGCTCTCTTCAGCTTCAGCTGCTTAGCCTGCAAGGAGGGTTCAGCTGAGGTCTCTGTTTGGGGGAAAGTAAATAAAATGGAATCAATCCAACAATGGTCAACCCATGCCCTTCAGCAGTATTTTAATTTTATTCAGAAAGGTAACTGTAGATAACAGTAGGTAACTGTACAGAAAAACAGTTGATAGATAACAATAGGTAACTATGCACTACAAAGATATGACAGATGATATGTATATTCAGATTATAAAGATAACTACAGTAGCCTTTGGACAAATTCACTGTTCTCAAACTGATGTCACTCAATTCTCATTCATCTTTTGCCCCTGGTTGTGCCTCAAGCTTGGTGCTCAGCAGCATAGCACTCCCTCTCTGAAACTGACGTTCATTACTAATCAGATCAAATCTGCCTCACTCCCTTTTGGACACTTTACAGTGTCTTCCTTTAGTAAAAGAGCAATCCATGGTCATTCTATTTTATTGCTGCTCAGCTACACAAGACTGCCCAATTGAATTCACACAACAGATTTTTCTGAGAATAATCTCCGAGCAAGCGGAGTTGAATCCCTCCTAAGGAAGGGTGCAATGGGCATGATCTGCCTGCTCCCAAGTGGAAGGAAGCTTTAGAGGTCAGAGACAAAACAGAAACCTGTTAAAAAGGTAGTTATGGTAAAATTTATTGTTGATGTTTGCATGTTCAGCACTTGCCATACCTTCCAGAATGTGCATCCTAACCAGCTCTGATCTCTCTGGCCGGGACCGGATTTTACGTTTCAGATAGTCCTCTGTCTGTAGCAAAAACAGACAAGCAAGAACCACTTTCAGCTGATCAGACACAGAAGAGAGGTAACCTTAAGCAGCACAACGAAAAGAAACAACCATCTTTAGCTGTTACTGAGATCTAAGTAAGCACAAAATGGAGAAAGGACCTATCTCCTGTCCCAGAGCACACGGAGAATGAGCTTACTCTAAAGATTGCCTTCTACAGTAATTACCTCAGTCAATTGTACAATGCTGCTCCATCTCTCCAGAATGGAAATTGGTAAGGACTTCCTCAGGAGCTGAAGTCCTCTTTTCCTGTTGTATGAACCACCACTAACTTGTGTCAGGGTAACACCCATGAGACTTCTTTTTACATTAAAGATATATGCACTGGTTCCATTGTTCACAGAAAATACTTTCATGTACTGCTAGCATTCAGGGCTGACTTGTGGCTTGGGCATACTCTTTAATTTGATTAAAGATATGTTATTTCTTAAGCTAAAGACCCCATGCAGTCCCTTGAGGAGCAGAATGTAAATGCTGTGACAAGGCTTATTTCACTTTCAGAGCTGCTTTTAGCTCTGTCTTTGGAGAAAATGCTATGGAGCAATGAACAGAAATGACCCTGACAGGCTGAACGTGTTACTCTTTACACTGCTGAGGAATGGAAATCTAGAAGCAGTAGGTAATAGATTGCTAAGTACTGGACATCAGGATGGGCCTTCAGAGAAACTGCACCATAGTTGCTCAACTGCCCACATAAAAATATTAACTTAATAAGGTTTTAGGCAAAAGCCCTTTGTTACTGGTCTTAATGCAAAGTCCCCCTTTGCAATCCTTCCAACAGTTTAAAGGGCCTCAGCTGTTATTTTGCTTTCACTTTTAAAACAAAACTTAGTCATAACAAGTTTCATTCCACTGCAGGCTAATCAGAAAAAAAATATCCCCAGAGGCCTTCTGAGGAACAGAAATTATCAAGAAACTCCCCAGTTAGAAATACTTCATACACATGAAGTACGATGCCTGGCTTCCTCTTTCTGTAGAGCCAGAAGTCTATGATTTCAGTGTCACAAGATTTTTTGGGGGATCCTCTCTATTAAATTTTCATTTTTACCTAGTCTCCTAGATAAAAATTGCATGTGCAGGTAACAGAGAAACTTTCCTCAAAGATGGAACTGACTGCCACAAGATGAAAGCATTTAATAGCATTTAAAGGCAAAACAAACACCATAAAAATAAAAATGTCAAGTGCGTGGACAGTGGGAAGAAGAGTAACAGTCACTTCCAGAAAGATTACACTAGGGAAAATCCAGGCACCATATTCATTGGGCTTTAGGAACAACTAGTTCACTGAGGCTTAACCAGCACCACATGCAAGCTGCAGAACACCCCATCCAATACACCTCTGACTACAGAAAGCTGTATTACATCCAGAATATGAACAATTCCTTTCTGCATCTCATTAACAGCTACAGGATGCCCAAAACACAAGACATACTTTTCCTGACTTTCCCAAAACACTGAAGGTTATATTGCATCTTACCCTGGCCCGCTCCAAACTCTTTCTTTGTTCATGAAATGCAGCTGGACTTTTCAAAGCTGTGGAGAGGAAAAGCATTTAGACAATGAATTAGAATGATGGAAGTTCTCTCACTGCACAACCCTTCAGGCCAACCGAGTTAACAAACACACAGAAGCAACTGCCTCCTGCATCTTCCAACACACTGCAGCAGATCTCCAGCTGGTACAAAGCAATGGGAATTGCCATACTCCATCTGACAGCACAGGGATACAGGAAATGATCTGAAATTTTTGTAGGCCACTGGAGAGTCTAATACAGATACACTTCTAGTCAAGCTAATCACTGTTCCCAAAGTTGTGTCCAAGAACATGATTCAGAAACAGCCCCCCAAAAAAGCCTTTTACAAGCTTCAGCAGACAGTAAGATACCCAGGGCCCTTACGGGGGGAATGGCCCTGAAACACTGAAGAGGTCAAACGCTGGAAGGATGGCAGACAATGATAATGAACTGTAAATCCCCTTTACTATCCTTTAATGTCAGAGGAAGATGCAAGTTTTTCCTGAACATGCACCTCTGGTTTGTACACATGCAAGGACTGGCTGCAAATCCTGCAGGTCCACAGCACACATATACTGCTCCCTGGAAGAGAAACTACCGTGACAACAGGGACACTCGGAGAGAAAAGCACTTCTGCCTATTGGCAGAAAACCACAGCTTGAGGAATTAACTTCAGCTCTCCACAGAACAGACCTTCTCGCCCCCTCGGGCCCTGTTTAAAACCAGAGCCAAAATGGATCAGGTTTTAAGAAACTGATCCTCTGCTGTCCAGGACCACACTAACCCTGGAGGAATCTCTCACTCTGCCTGGCTCCTCTGGAGCACACAAAGCTCACGTCCCACAGTAAAACCAGAGAGGGGGGTGATGATGGTGTCAGTAGCTCCTCACAGTTTCCCTGAAGCTGCAAGTAGCTTGTTTTTTCAAAAAACGACCACACTGTGGTTTGTATTAAGAAGTAGTTGAAGGGAGCATAATAATTTCTTTACATATTTCTGAAATACTCATATCTTAAACTGTCTGAATTACCATCCAGCTAAACAGAAAAGTTAAAGAACTTCAGCTTTAAAGATAAGTTGCAAGTCTTTTGAAGACAGAAAACGAAGCTCACAGAGTTAGTATCTCCAAAGTGTTGCATCTAGGTCCTGTGAAAAACAGTCTGCTCATATTACTTTTCATTTAAGACCAGTTAGTAAGTATTTCTCAAATATAAGTTCATAATGAAGTCTCAAAAAACTTAAAAAATAAAAGCCCTTGCATAAATACAATGTAAGAAACTACTTCTGTGGAGCCTTCCATGCCGTTTCTACAGACAAAATCGAGTAGCCACCAAAAGTGTTGACACATTCCGTGAAATATAGAGTCCCTCTGATGCCAAGATGATTTTTTGCCTTTTCTTTCATATACTTTTTATATAACTTTTATGTATCTTCAGTATTCCTAGCATGCATACTTGTAATTCTTTAAGTCTGATAACTTAACCTAGTATTTTGTTAGGCCAGGAGACAAAACATCCTAAAGGCCTCATAGCAGGAGACTGGAAATCCCTATGCTATCTTGGGAAACCAAGGCCCCACTCCAGAACATATCCTGTAAACTCGAGATTTGGCCCATCCAGGGGGGAATACCACACCGTTCATGCAGGCCTCCCATAGGAGCACCCTCGTTAGAGATGCTCCTTTGTAAGGTCTATAAATTGTATACACGATCTATTGTGTGTGCACACTGCAGTGCATCCCACCTCGGCAAAGTGGTGCAGCATAAGGATCCTTATTAAAATACTGAGGTAAAAAACCCTTATCTCTTAACTGTGTCTGGCTCTCAATTTTTTAAGACCAGGGAAAGGCATCACCTCTAGGTTTACATCAGTGGGGTAAGAAGTAGAATTCAGTACACATGGCAGGAATTCCAAACATGCCAGGTGTTGGAGTCTGAAAACAGAAGCCTCTCTGAGTTCTAATTTGTAGAATAAATTAACAATAACTGAAAACCACAGTGAGTGAGTCTATAGACCCCTACAGCAACGGGGCAAATAGTTCCTGCTCAGATTAGTTGCATAAATCTGGTTACAGAGGGAAATCACCAGAGAAAGTTACACAAGCTGTGAAATGCACTTTGAGAAAAACCAAAGAGATATGGTAGGGATACTGTTTTGCAATAACTACAAAAATAATGCAAAAAACTTCCCCATCTAGCTGAGGCACCAACAAGGCCTCAGCTGATGCCTGCAATGAGATGTCCTGGGCAGTATGACCATGGCACTTCAATGGAGAGCAAAGAACAAACAATACTTTTCTATTCTTGTGAATACGCACATGCTTGAACCTGAACGTGCTTTCCTTTCATTGTTTGCATCTCACAGAAAAGTGAAATAAAAGCTCAGGTCCACTTGGGCAAAGATAGTAAGAAACATTTAAATCTGCATAAACATCTACCCTGGAGACAAGCAAAGCAGGATTCATCTTGAGTCTTCAAAAGCTCTCCACCAGAATGTGCAGACACAGCAGTAATTCTTTACTCTCCCCTTCCTGCCTACCTCTGCTGCCAGTATGAGGCAGCAGATGAACTTTAAGTGACATTTCCCTGACCACAGCTAATGGTCAGAAAAGTCAACTGCAGGAGGTCAGCTTGTGTCAAAGGCAGTCCAGGAAAACACTTGCATACAGTAGAACAAAGCAAGAAAATAATCCCTGAGTAGGAAAAAAGAAAAACACATATGCATTTAACAGTAAGTAAAGCAGAGCTGCTACATGAATAATGAACACTTTCAGTCTCTCATAACTAGTCCTCTGGAAACGTGCACTGGGATGTAGCTCTCTGGGCTGGCAACATGACAGAGGACTTCATATTTGACCTCTGAAAATGTCAAGAGGGCACAAATCCTTCACTGCTTCCATCAGCAATCTAGGATGAGGTTGATATGTTAGAATAGGGTATCTATTGTAAAATCATACTCCATTTGAAGTTAACTAATCCTTGCACATTTTTTGGCTTTGAAGTGACTACTTAGTCCAGAGCTATGGAGCAACTCTCTTAACTTTACTACAGCAAATTTTAAAAAAGGAAAAATATAATCCTACAAAGAACTCTGAAGCAATAAAGCTCTGGGTGAGCACTAAAGGAGACTTGCAGTGCAGATATGCCACTTTTCCAGCTCCTACCACTGTCCTTCCTGGCCACTTAGCACTGATCCTTACAAAACTGTTCCTGTGCCTCATAACTCATCTGGCTTGCTCAGCAGAGTGCTGCTTTATCCATTCCACTCAAAACTACCCATACTGATAAAGCTCTACTGTTCTCAGCTGTATCAGCTGCAGTGGCTCGTTCTGGCAGTGTGAATAAGTGGCTGAGCTGATGGAACAGAACCTGTGTGAACCAGGTGGGTGTGGGGCAGCATTCCCACTCTGTCCACAGCCCTTAGGACCTGAAGCTTTGGATATATCCACAGAGGGTTAGGGATGAGGAAACTCCAATCACCTGATCCCTTCTGACTGCTCAGCCTGTATAAAATACACTAAACTATTCCTTACAGTAGTTTGTCTAACCTGTTCTTGGAGACCTCTTATAAAAAAATGTAATATTATTGCAGAGAAATTATCCCAGTACACAAATGTTTTTACTATTTAAAAATCTTTCTGAATGTCTAACTTACATTTCCCTTCCTACAATTTATACTCTTTGTTGCCCACCTTACCTGCAAGCATTTCAGAGAACGATTTAATTTCTTCTACTTTGCATCTATCCCTTTTGAACTTTGGTTCTCCTACAATTTTCTGATATATAAAATGACCAAAGGCAGTTGCTTCAACCTTCCCTTGCAGATAACATTATCCAGACCTTGACTTGTTTAGTCTCTTTTGGACTCCTTCTGTTTAAGCTGCATTTTTGTTGAAGCCTAGTGTCCAGAACTGGGTACATATTCCAGCCTAGGCTTTATTGGCTGTTACAGAGTTAAATGATTATTCAATAACACTTCTCAGCCACATGTCCCAGCCAGTTTCCCTTGTTTGTGTACATAAAACGAACAACATTGATTTGTGCTTGTCTCACAATTCACTAAAGGTCTCCAATCCTCTTCTGCAGAGCTGGTACCAAGCCAGCCACTCTTTATCCTCAATTCAAGCCACTGACTAGGCGTTACAAAATGTAGACATTCTGCCTTTCTGCCTTTTTCTTTCATTTTATTCCATAGCTGTTGCCTTCTCCAAACACTGTGACTCCCAGTCCTGTCCTCCCCCCAGCCTACTGACCTGGAGCTTAATAAACGTGCAGACTCTTCCTTTGTTTTCCTTTCTTTTTCCTACATCAAATCACTGAAAGTACTGAATCGTGTCAAACACTGATTTTCTCCCTCCCCATCACACCCAACAACCCTGCTCAACTCAACCTCTCAGACTGACACCAAGCCTTTATTCCAATCCTCACAAGTTCCATAGACAGCTTCAAGTAGTCCCAGGTTGCTTCCAAAAACATTGGGCAAGGCTATTTTAAGCGCCTTACTAAACCCAAGAAGTGCAAAAACACATTTAACACCCTGAATTCCCTGGGAAGGATTACAACAAATATTTAGTCTGCTGGTAGATCCAGCTTCAGTAATGAGCACTTTTCCCCCCCTTTTCCACATCCCATGTGTTTCTGCCTTGCTGTTGATGCTCTAATTGAACTTGTACTGCACAAGGAGCTCTACTATGGAACTATTGCCATAAAGCATCTCCTGCACCTCTCCATGGCATTTGCCCCTCTCCAAACTTAACTTGAATCCTTGATCTAACTATCCAGCTACCTTTGAGTGAGCTCTGATGAGAACAGAGTGCTGCCAGAGGGGAAAAAAACACCGAACTTGCCAAACTGCAACAGCAGTATGAGCTGTTGGGTTTTTGTTTTCCACTGTATGCAGAAAAGAAATAGTTGACAATGCAAAAATAACTTCTGCAATGCCCAATTTCAATTAGGTTACCTCCTGCCTGCCTTTTGGTTTTATTTCTACATTATATGTATATGTTTTTTTCAGCCTCAGTAACC